GTAAATTATTACCTTACTTTCCAATTACATCCCCAAATCAGAAACAGAGACGGTGTGGAAATGCAAATGAAAAAAGAAAGCTAAGTTAACTTTGAGGTGTATTCATTGCAGACGATACAACAAACACTATTTAACACGTTCCTCATGATTTTTATCGTATTTGTTTTGTTTTTCTAAATAAACACTATTCCAATTTTGGTTCCTGCAACACATTAAAGAAAGTTAAAACAGTGAAGCATTTCCCACTCTGCACTGCTGCCAGTCCTTTACACAACACAATTAGACATTTTAAGACAGCAAGTGTTGAAGTGTTTCAGGGTGATTCTGTCTCTTTCCTCCTGCAAACAGCTCTTAATCTGGCCAGCAGTGCAGGGTCTTCCACACACTCTCTATTGGAGACAGGTCAGGACTGCAGGCAGGCCAGTGCAGTGTCCATCTCCTCTTCTCTGTAATGTGAGCTGAGTGTGGTTCTGCATGGTCTTGTTGGACTGTGCAGGGCGTCTCTGGAGCAGAAGGCAGCATATTGAGCTCCAGAATCTCTCTGTGCTGTTCAGCATTAATGGAGCATCACAGAAGAGCAGGTCACCTTCACCAAGAGCACCGACACAACCCCAGACCATGACAGAGCCGGGCTGCTGGATGTGTTGCTGGTGTCAGTCTGGATGATCCTCTTCTTCTTTGGTCTGGAGCTCACGGCGTCCATTTCTCCCAGAAACACCTGAAACACTGCTTCATCTGAGCGCAGGACACGTCTCCACTGTGTGATGCTCCATCCCAGAGCCCAGAGAAGCACTTCTGGACACTGTTAACATAGGGCTTCCTCTTGGCACAGTGCAGTGTTGGCTGGTGTTTGTGGATATGACTCTGTTTTGTGCTGCTTGACAGGTTAATCACAGTAGTGATGAATGAGATCAGTCAAACAAGCCAAAGCACATTTGATAGCCCCTCAACTGGGTTGTAACGTGTGTTGCCAGATTGAGGTAAAATATGCTTTGAGATGAGAATGTTTTGTCCATTGTGTGAGGTGTTAACCTTCATACAGGATCTGGCAAGTGGACAAGCATGGACAAACAGGGATTTTTCATAACTAGGTCATTATAAAACTTGAATTTACACAATGAGTACACCATAATAATGTTAATTTCAGTGTAAGAGCATATTATAGTTAACGCCACCTAATATACAGCTGGACCTGAACATTTATAACAGAGTTTAAACCTGTGTGTGTGTGTGTGTGTGTGTGTGTGTGTGTGTAAGGTTGTCCTGGTGATGATGGGTGTGTGTTTGTTCATGTTCGGGATCCCCATGACCACACCCAAGGACATGATGACGGATCAGTTCAGCCCCTTCTGGCTCGGTGTTCTGGTGTGTTCATCTCTGCTGATCATCTCTCATTATACTGACTGGATCTGCTTTGCAAGCAGGGTTGCCAGATTTTGCCAGGGTTGAACTATGTCCAGTGTAGTTGATCAGTTCCCCTATAGCGCATGTGTTTGGACTGTGGGGGAAACCGGAGCGCCCGGAGGAAACCCACATTAACACAGGGAGAACATGCAAACTCCACACAGAAACACACACTGACCCACCTGGGACTTGAACCAGCGAGTGTTGTGAAGTGAATGTGCAACACCACCGTGCCGCCCCACACACACAAACACACAATCACACACAGATATATACATGAATACACAAACACACACACACACACACACCTCTAAACATCCCTGCACCTCACAAAAATGTGCTTACTCAAATTAAATCAAAGTTCTGGATCATGGCACTTTAAACAGGTTAACTAGGACAATATTACACTGCAGCCTTACGAATGCAACATGTTAAAGCATTAACCCCTTGGTATAAAAATAACCCAGGACAAGAGGTTAAAATACATCACAGACACAAGCAGACCTGGCAACCCTGCTCGAAAGATCTTAAATAATATCAAAGTAAAATACTTAAAAAAATACTGAGCCAGTTTCATCACTCATTTATTATTATTATTATTGTTATTATTATTATTATTGTTGTTATTAATAAATGTCTTCTGTGCAGTTCTGTATCTGTGGCCTAGTGTACATACTGTCTGAACGCAACCCCTCCAAAAAGATGGTAAGTGTGTATTGATGAACTCGTCGTTCACTGAGACTCTTCCGTAACTTCATCAGTGAATGTGTAGATTATATCCGTGACTCCTCTGTGTTGCAGATTACAGCCAGTCTGGCTCTGAGCATCGTCTCCACGTTTGGAGTCATCTTTGCGGTGTTGGACATCAGCCAACACATCTCACACAACCGCTGGATGGTTTGGTTCCACCGAGCACACAACATGACCGAGACGGAGCTGCTCTACATGACACAGCATTATGTGAGGGGTTATCTGCTCTCTTTCCAATGACAAACAGGGATTATAATGTACACCTGAAGGCCAAATCCCCCAGCCTCCTGTTAAAGACGAGTATTTCCCAAGTGCTGCCTAACAGATTCATTCATTTAATCCAAATATCTAAAATCTCTTAACTCAAGAAGCATTTTCTAGACAAGCAGAAATTATAGTGTTGTTTACAGAAATAATGAGTCCAAATGAAGAGAACTTCACCTTAAAACAAGCAGACTAATCTGCATTTCTCTTTGAAATATCATTATTTTCTTTGAATTTTGTCCTCAATTGTGTATATATAAGGATAATAGCAGAAATGAGTGTTAATGCATGTGCAGGTTTAATAACTATATTTGTGTCTGTTTCCCGCAGAGTGCTGTAGAGACGATGGGCTGTGTGTTTCTGTGTCACAGTTTAATAGGAGGAGTTCTGCTGATCATCATGACGTGTTTCGCCAGAGCAGCACTGCGCTCCAGCAACACTCAGGTCAGATCATTCATCTACACTGTTTACCACGTCTCCATTATTAGCTATTAATATAGTCTAGTGTATTATACTGTGTATGTTATGGTATTCAAAACTCTTTGTTAATGAATGCTGCAGCACTGTAGTGTGAACTGATC